GCGCCCGGCGGTCCTTTTCGCGGGAAGGTATACGGGCGGCGGAGGTGCCCGCCGTGGTCGGTGACACCGGCGGTGGCGGCGGCGGCGGCGGCGGCGGCGGAAGGAGAGAAGACGCCCTGGGTGAGGGGGACGATGGAGAGGACCTGCGGTCTAGGGGAGAGGTTGAGCTAAGCCTGTTCTCGTTCGGGGCCCCGCGGGCGGGCAACCAGCGCTACGCGGCGAGGTACAATGCCGCCGTGCCGCGCAGCTTCCGGATCGTGGTGGACGGTGACCCCGTACCGGTGAGGGGCATGAGGGTTAGGGTTCTCCCTGGCTTTCCTTTCATTTTGTTCCTTCTTGCCGCCGCTCCCCCCTTGTTACTCCCCTCTTTTCCGGCTCCCTAACAGCCTTTCTCCCTACTCGCCGCAGGGGTTACCCACCTGGCGGTACGGGCACGCGGGAACCAAGGTTTTGATCGACGGTCGAGGGAGAGGTCCGCTCATTCTGGACCCGAGCCTGGCGGAGCAGAGGATCTTCCCTCGCTCACAGCGGAGGCGCTACGTGCATCACCATGACACCGGACGGTACCGGCAGGGGCTCCGTGGCCGGTTGCTGGAGGTGTGATGAGGGGGGAGGGATGACGGTGGTATCTGGGGGTCTTGTGTGGTCGGCGACGTGTGATTGTGGCTGGGTGTGGCGGTGTGGCTTTTTTCTTCACCCTCTTCCCCCTCGGCGACCTTTTTTTGGATGGTGTGGCTGCGGCTCGTGAAGGCGGCTCGTTCGGCAGGCAAAGGAGGACGCTTGTAGCTGCTCGAGTGTTTCGGCTTGCGCCATCATACGTCATTTGTCTGTCTGCCGCCAAGCTTGACCACGTTGTGTTTCTTTTTCGCCCACAAAGCCAGTGACGTCCGACTTTATGATTTTTCTTCTACTTCTAGCCAGCTAGCCAGTAGCAGAGTGGCGCAGCCGATTGCCGTCCGTTGTCCCCCCACAAACCACCCCGCCTCGCTTATGTTCCGCATACACCGACAAAACCAAAAATGCAGGCGGTCCTCCCCGAGGTGGCAGCAGGCCTGCCCAACCACTGGCCGTTCGCACCCCCGGCCTCCACCCCGGTCGCCACGACCTTGTCCACCGGAAACACAGAGGGGGACACCCCTCCCGTCGCCGCCGCCGCCGCCGCCGCCGCCGCTACCGGCGCTCCCGCCACCGACGACACCGCCGCCGCCGCCTCCTTCGCAACACCCAACAAGCCCGTCGAGGGTAACGGCGGCGGCGTCTCCACCGACGAGGCTAAGGTAGACCTGGAGACCGGTGGGGGGGGTGGCTACGCCGACAACGGCGGCGGGGGCGGCTTCGCGGAAGGGGGGGAGAGCAACGGGGTGCCGGGGGCCCCGCTATCCGCCCCCGCTTGGGGGGTGTCGTTCGACGAAGGCAGTGGCAGCGGCAATGGCCGCGGGAAGGTTGGGACGCCTGACGACAGGGGGAGAGGGGCGGCGATGGCGGCGGCCAAGCTGACGCCCGGCTCCATTCCCTACTTCTCTAGCTTTGACAGCGGCAGCAGGCACAGCAGCGACAGTGACAGCAGCGGCGACGGCGGCGGCGGCGGCGGCGACGGCGAGGGCGTCGACGAAGCAGCGGGGGAAGGGACACGGCAAGAGGAGAAGGCGAAGAAAGAGTAGAAGCAGATGGAATGAAAAACGTGGTCCGCAAGGGTAGTGGGGTCCATCAAGAGTCACAGCAGCAGCCGTAGCGGAGGTTGCGTCGGCCGTAGCAGAAACACCGACGACGACGTGCTATAGCGTTGGCGAGTGTTCGGTGAAACGGCGGACGGGGCGAGAGGAGGCGGGAGAGACCAAAAGTTTTGTCCGTGGGGTTTGGATTTGCTGGTCATCTCGGTACCGGCCACAGCAGCAGCAATAGCAGCAGCAACAGCAGCAGCAGCAGAGAGTGCAACCACGCAAGAGCGAGAACGACGCACTTTTCCATCCTGTCGATGGGTTTCAGTTTGCCATTGGTTGGCGTTGGCGAGGCGGCAGGATTACAGGGAGGCATCAGACGGAGGAGGAGGCAACACAATCGGCGAAAATGGAAGGACAGGCGGGCTGGCATCGGGTCGAGAAAATAGTGGGGGAGGGTCCGGGAGCTTTGCTTGTGCGAAATTGAAGAATTTCAGCAACACATGGATGCCGTTGTACACGGCAGCATTAGGGACAGCTCATACGAAGGGAAATCTACCTCCGTGTGCCGTTTAGCGCCAACTACTGTGATGTTTCACATGTTGCAAGTACAATCGAGGGGGGAGAGTGACAATCGAGAGCCTCCCCGCGTGGTACGTTGGGGGCGACAGAAAAAAACAGTAGGGTTCGGGAAAAGGAAACTTTCCGCGAACCTCCCCCACTGTGTGTTTCGGGCGGTGCCGATACTCTTTGGAAATCCCGCGCGAGCTGCTGTTGCCCCGTCGGCGGCAAGAAGAAGTCTAGGCGTGCCAAGAGTAGTTTTGTTTGTGTGAAGGGGCGGTAAGGGAAGCCTGGTATTTGCTCTCCAAGGAAGGCAGAGGAGAGTGATGAGATGCTGGTCAAGATGGAGACCATAAATCGTCTTGTGTACGCGTTATACACAGAGTAAGTGTTGTTTTAGCCGTGTGTTCGTTACAAGTTTTTCCTTGCAAAAATGTTTTTCCTTGAAAAAACGCATTGCCTTGTTTATTTTATGAAGAATTTTTTTCTTGTAGTCTCGTTTACTGTAGTGGTACTCCCTGTCTTGCCTGTACAACGCCACACAGATCTTTTTTTTTTTTACGACTTTCTTGGCCCTCTCTCGTTGTGGGGAATTCTTTGTGACTTGGTGGACCTTGTGAGCTACTGTTGTTACGCGCGCCTTTGGCGGCAGAGGGGTCAGGGTAAAAGGTTGGGTTGGGGGCTAGAACGAATGTGTGCGAGTGTTTCAGAACAACGCGCCGCCATTGATGTAGTGTCTGTTGTGGGAGAAGTTTTGTCCGTTGTTGTTGATGCGGTAGTGGACCCTTTGTATGAACCTGCATAGTGACACGGGATTTGCCGCCCGTATTGCCGGGCACCCGGCAGAACACTATTATTCAGAGGGTGAGACACGTTGAACGTACATACGCCATATTGTCAAGCGATTTCACCGACCTTACAAAAGGGGCGACCGATCATATTTTCGCAAAAGCCTTTTACAGAGACCACTGCTACGGCTGTGATATCGTGTTTGTTTCTCGCGTTGAGTGTGTAACGGCATTTGTTTCGTTGTCGCCGGAAACCCCAAAGTTTTTTTTTTGTCACAAGAATCAATCGTGATTTCGCAAGTTCTGTTTTGGAGACAAGAGTGACACGTCTTTTGTGATCGTGTTGTCACAAGCATGATAGTGTTTTATTTTAAAGAAGAGTGCATCAGAATTCTTGAGTGCCGTTTTGGTGGTTTATAGTGGGGACTGATTAGACCCCGATTTTGCATGTCGGGGAAAAGGAGAGGGTGCGCGTGAGTGAGTGAGTGGGGGCAAGTCACAAAAGGGAGTTGGATAGGTTCGCCGAGACTTGATTTCCAACGTGTACCGAGAGCACCACCCGCAGTACGTAGGGTTAGGGACGGTGAAGGCAACTTTACCCTTCTTTTACTCTTGGGGGGGCGGTTTCTTGCTGTTCGTATGTTTTGATAGTGTATTGTGGAATCTCAAGTTAATGCCATGATATTCCAGGAGGACCATCATTTGCAGCAATTCACGAAGCATGAATTGCAAGTACAGCGGTCTTCGGTCGGGAGGTCCCGGTTGCACGCTAGGACAACGCCAGGTTGTCTGGCTTACACGTACGTTGGGACGGCGGGGGCTGTCTGTTTGTCATTGTGTCTGCATCACACGCCACACCTGCAAGCGCACGACCGCTTTACGGGGAAGGTGTGCTGTAACGGAAAAGCAATGGCACCAGCCAGGGTGTTCCGAACCCGCACATCAACGCACAACGCTGTAGTGAAAAAGGAACACAGAGGGTTTGCGTCTGTCGATCACTTTTCGCGCTGCTGAACTTAGCCGATTGGTTGAAGGTGGGGCGTTTACCGTTCTCGCTACACCAGCGCGAATAATGAACGAATGAAGCAGTTACCAACGAACAGAGAGGCGATGTTTTTGTATTTTTGTCACCTTTTGGTGTTGTGCGTGCCAGAACCTCTGCCCCTCATATCGCGAGCGTCGACCCGAGCGTACTGCAGGGGGGAAGCCGTGTGTGTTATGGGCCAGAGGTGCTTATGGGAGGGCGTACTCTACATGCCTTAGCGGCTAGACCATTCATTGACCACGCGCCCTCGAGAGGACGGACTCACGGAGGTGTGTATGGCGGGGGAGGGGTAAGAAGTCGCCGCACCTTCCGCCTCTCTGTTTGGGCCTTCAGGGAGACACACGTCGCGCAGCGGTGTGTCGGTTAAAAGGGCGGAGTTTGGCTTCAAAATCATGTGCGAGTGGCCTCGAGTGCTTGCACAGTTTAGGGTTCAAGAGGCGGTTTTGATAGTCATGTTGTGTGTTTTAACGGGCTCAACCAGGGACGAGACTCGCGGCAGACACGTGCACTTTTTTTACTCTCGGCCGGGTTCCGCTGTCGGCGGCATGAATAGTTATCTCGTCGCATTGTGCACAAGTCCTTGGGAAGTCTTTGGCACCCAGGGTATTAATGTTCTTAGAATACGAGGACAGGAAATGCCCAGTCTAAGATGCAGCCAATTCACCTTCCAGTACAGTGTGCACTCGATCGGCCCACCACTGAAACCGAAAAGCGCAAAGACGTCTGCAACAAACGAACCTATTACTCCTTTCTCTACCTGCCCTCGGGACTTCTTACCGAAGACAGCCGTTTACGCCTACCCTCGCCCGCCTTGGGGGCGCCCAAAAAGGTAAAGCATCGACCCACTTGCAAAACTGACAGCGATACCAATCCACAATCAAGGACGATAGCAGCACTACGTTAACAAACCTGCCTGGTACTGCTTCAGGATTCCTTCATTTAATGCGCACCGCCCGCACGACATACGTTACTATTTATACGACTATTCTACTGGTGCTACAGCTGTTGATGCTGCTACTACAATTGCTGCAACTACTACAACTTCCTCTACTACTCTTGAGTATGCTACCGCCATGCGCTGGGGAGACTATCAACTCTACTTCGAAAAAGCTTGCTAACAATGCGGCATAGACAAATACACGCAGACAGTTGTACAGCTTTTCGCACACCACCAATATCTGTGTGTGTAAGCTAACACGGCAAAAGTGATATATTTTCTCAATGCAAAAATAACACTCGTACTAACGAACCGTTACAACGAACCGTTACAAGGGTGACGTGCCCGCTCCCGTATACTTGAGCGTGACCGTCACCATCCTCGCGCCGCTCTCCTTCAGAAGAGGCGGGTCCCGTGAGGGGGGCGGGGCGAGCAGGGGCATCCCGCGGCGTATGCGGGGGTCGACGTCTCGCCAAGCCGGGGCCTTCGCTCTCAAACCAGGCTGCACCAAACAGTTACGTATTTATTGGGAGAAAAGTCGGTGCAAACATTCAGCACGCAGACAGGAGGGGGGGTAGGAGGGAGGGAGTGAAGGGGGGAGGCAAAGAGGGGAGTAAGTGCGAAGCAAAAATTCACTATCCGGCAGGGTTTCCTCTCTCCTCACTGAAAGTACTCCAACCCTTCCGTGAATCATCAGGAGCGGGTAGTCTTTCTGAGATGTTTCGAGTGTTTTTGAAATGCACATGATGAGAGTCGCGTCGCCCAGAACTCATGTCAGCCGTAAGCATCGCATGTGGCACGTTAGCTTCGCGGGTCTCGTTGACTCGTACCAATCGCAACTTCAGTTCGCAACAGCAACAAGAGCACACCTGGACCGTTAGCGCTGCCTCCGGCGTGTCTGGCACCGCCACCACGTAGCTCAACTCCCCGTCCATGAGCTCCTCCATGGACGCAAACGGAAGGGCGTTGGCCGCGGGGGGACGGCCTCGCTCGAACCCCTGCAGCTCCTGCATTTTTGATTGGTTGATTGGTTCACGGGGCGTCGGTCCTTTCGGTGAACGGGCCAGCAATCCAATGCGTTTTTTTCGTTGTTCTGGGCAGTTCTTCGTTTTGAACGCTCAAACAAGCGTTTTTCACCGTCTCATTGACGGCGCATCAGCAACGCAGCCGTGTGTTGTTTTCATCCCGACCAGCCTCTTTTCCGACGGTATTTCGGCGAACCACGGGAAGTCGATTTTGTCGGTACAATCGTATGGCAGGATGTGTGAGTAATCGCTCGAGGGGTCTATCTTCCCTGAGACATCCACGGGCGCGCGTGCGGATGGATGTGGGCCGGCGGCAGAGAGCAAAGGTTCGGGGGCAGCGCGCTGGGTCCCATCGTGCCTATCGGCTTTCGACGCCAAGACTCGTATCTGCCGTCGCCGCTGCCAGCGGCGGCGGCGACGAAGGCCCTCACGTATGTGCGCTTCGCAGGTAGCCAACGCAGACTCTCCCCAGCCCGCGACGTACCTGGCACAGATCAAACACTGGTCTATTGCGACGCTTAGCGGTGCTTGGTGCCCGCGAGAAGTCTATTTTACCTGCGGTAGTTTGGTCTCGGTCTCTGCCGTTGTGATCCTCCACGGACCGACCTGTACGAGACCACCGTCTAGCGGGACAGGTGTCCCTTCGGCCTGATAGAAAGAAGCAGCAGCATCAGCAGCAGCAACCGCAGCAACCGCAGCAACAGCAACAAAGGTAGGAACAAGAAGATTTCGACAGGATCATAACAGTACCGGCATGACGCACAAACACGTAGAACAGACTTTGCGTAGACCCTATGTCAATAATCCTGTCCTAGGGTCAAAGACCTCTTTCGTTCCTTTTGTGTAGAAGCATCACCTTTCCAAAAGGGTGAACATCTCTCACTTTAAGCAGAAAAACTGGCGGGCACAGGGTGAAGGGGGCTTGAAATAAACCGGAAGCAGAGCAGGGACCCCACGAGTGTGGCGTTGGATGGAGGTTTCGCCGATTGGGAAACCGTGTCAACGTGCACATATGGCCATCATCGCTGGGAAAGGTCATGGTCGTCACACGGAAGCATCTTGGTTCGTTGAAATAGTTGAAAGAGAACGAACCACCACTGCTGAGGTAATGAACCCAGGAGGTGTGAAAACGGCCGCCTTCCACGTACGTACCTTCTCGCCGTAGGACGTGTTCGGCGGCAGGAAGACCCCCATCCTGAAGATGTACAGGCTTCCTCCGCAAAGGAAACCCACGTACTCTTTCCTCAGCTCTACCCACTTGTCCTGGAGGAAGAGAAAAGCAAAACAAAAAGTCACACACAAAACCATTGCGACGTGTGTACGTACATACTTTTGCCGTCGGAAGCTAAAGAAAAAAGATATGTCGAAGAAAAACGAAAATAACTTGAAGCGTATTGCATCTTGTCAAAAAAAAAACGCAATAAAAAAAAAAAGGTACGTTCATTCGCGAATAGATGCATGCAAGGAATAATGGCGCAGTCAGCAGACAGAGAGACAGATAGAGACACCGCTCTTGTTTGAGAGGACCGTGAGGTCGAACTTTCGACTCGTGACGTCCCAGACAAACAAGCCACCCCGACGAAGATGCTATGATCTATTACGGAAAGGCGGTGGTTTCTTTCATCGTAGTGCGCCATGCTTCAACATCCTGCAACATCGCATTGTGGACATGCGCCGCGAAGACCGTGCCCACACGGAGGGACACGCCGTTTTGAGGCAAGAGTAGGTCTAACGAGGGGGGTCCAGTCACACACTACCAACGCGGCGAAACGGCCACTTACGTTCGACCTACACGGAACCTACGACCTAGAAAAAACTCAAGCACTCGCCATATACTATTTAGAACCCGAACTCAAACCGCTGAACTCAATACAGTAGGTGGCCCGGAATAATGCCGGTCGAATAATGCCGGTTGCCCGCTGTAATGCCGGCAAAATCGGCTGGCCCAACTTCAAGCCGGTATAATGCCGGTTCGGGGGGTTGGTGGCCCGTGAATAATATGCCGATTTTCACGATTGCTTGCACACACAGGACTGCACACACAGCACACCACACACACACTTTGAGGCCATATACCCCTACCAGCTGCACCCCTACCGCATCATGAGGGGCTACTTCGACAAGATTTGATGCTATTACTAATAGTATTTGAGCCGATTCAGTGTCAGTGTGGTTGTTTGTTCGGTGGAACCTGTTGGTAGGTTGTCGTTTCTAGCCGAACACCAGCAGGCTGACCACTTTTTGTTTGAATTTTCTCTGTTTATTTGTTCCTTGTTCTGCGTGAGCGAGCACTCGACGGTTATGTGAAGCGTACATGGGTGTGTTCAGATGTTACACTCATTCTCGTACTGCTTGTTGGTTTGCTTTCCTTCTCGATATTTGCGTACGCGATACAAGTGATAATGTTACAATGTGTATTTTTTTGCGAGTGACGGGGAGGCACCGGAGAGGCGAATGTTTTACGTACGTCAAGGAAGACTTCGTGCAAAGACACCGCTCTGGAAATAAGAAAGGCAGGGGGTGTAGAACCAAAGATAAGATGCATAGAGGGATGAGCAAACATGCGGACCTTCGATGGACGCGCCTGCGAAATCTGCTCGATCGCGGAATGCTTACCAAGCCTCCTGTCACAGCATCCACTGACATTTTTCCCCCCATCACCTGATGCTTGGTGTGTGCTGCATATGCATACTTGTTTTCGTATTGAATAACTCGACGGTTTCCTATACAGTGAGCGCCGGTACCGGCAAAATAGCGGAATTCTCAGACCCTCAGTAATGCCGGAACCGGCATTATAGAGGCCGATTCTATATAATGCCGGTCTCCTGCCATAATGCCGGTGAAATCGGCTGTCAACCACCGGTGTTATACCGGGCCACCTACTGTAGCGAAATCAAACCATTCGAGGACTAGGTAGTCTAGGTGTTTGATTTCGGCGTCTAAAAGACAAGCAACAGAGGTATGGACGCGCGCCCAAGACCAGTTCTAGTTTGTTTCACTAGATGCAATACCTTCAGAGGTACGTGAGTGTCCCGCTGTAGCGTGTCCCTGACGAACATTCCCAGGGTCTTGTCGCGGACCATGGGCATCCCCATCTTGTGCACCAGCTGCCGCAAAACCTCCTTCCAGAAGAGCAGGCCGTGGCTCCTGTTTCACAGCCAAAGAAGAACATAAAAAAGAATACATCGTGTACACACGTGACGTAGATACCGATAGGCTTTACACCGTTTCTAATGAATAAGGTTAATTCTGAAACTTTGCACAATTTTGATGGTTTGTTCTTCACGTTGTATCCCAGTGGCGTGCCTCTCGGCACTGCGTGCACATGGGTACGAGGGGACTGAGCTTGCACCAGTCACGTTACAAGCCATCTTCCTATGTGACTAGTGGCGGGGAGATGATATGTAGGCAAACAAATATTATTCTAATCATGGGCCTACTGATGACGAGTGGAAGAGGGCGAGCGGGCGAGAGAGAGAGATAAAGAGAGAAAGAAAGAGAGAAAGAAAGAGAGAAAAACAGACACAGAAATTCAATGCACCTGTGACGCAAAGGAACACAAGACAAGACAAGGCAAGGCAAGTCAAGACAAGCCAAGCCAAGCCAAGCCAAGACAAGCCAAGCCAAGCCAAGACAAGCCAAGACAAGGCAAGCGATGCGATCGCACAAACACGAACACGAACCTAACCTGTAAGACTCGACATCGAGGCGTAGCCCCAGCGGCTGCGTGACGGCCTTGTCCCAGACCGGCTGGAACAGCTCCCGGTGCACCAGGTCCCTGAGATCGTCCGACTCCCTCGCCACGGCCGACAGGTGGCCCAGAACCCCGCTCCCGAACACGTCCTCCATCATCGGGATCTGGCAAGGCACGTTGTACACAAGTCCAGAAAAAAAAGCACGAAAAAATACATGCCAACAAAACGAGGAAAGTCGAACTAAATTGAGACAAACAAGTGAACATAATTCGATCGGTCGAGAACTAAATGGAGGTTTATTGCTACGGTAACGGAGTGACGGTGAGGGAGTGAAATGCTAAGGCAGCCGTACTTTGGAGGTGTTGTGTGTTGTTGGAGGTCGCGTGTTGACCATCATGGGTACACAGGCTCGTGAATGAAAAAAAAAAAGAAGGGCAACCGAAGTGACCAGCGCTAGGTTACTGGCAGTAGTGGGGATGCAAGGTCAATGGTCCAACAACTACGGCACGCACGACTCCCCCACTCTCCTTCCCGACACGCACCCATACCTACCAACTGACGGCGAAGCTTTCCCCTGGTAGACCACGACGGCGTGGTGTCCTTGAAGTAGGGCACCCCGAACTTGTGCGCGAAGTCGTACACCACGTCCTTCCCGAACGGCAGCATGGGCCGCCACACCCGCACCCCGTTGACGGTGTTCTCAGGCGACATGCCTGCCACGGGCGGGAGGGAGAAAACGAGGCGCGTTGAGGGTGGTCGTTTCGCGAGTGCCCCTCGCGAGATAAAAATACTCACAGACACAAAAAACAAACGTCGTACGAAATAAACATCTTCCGATAACACCAGTCACCGCCATGGTCAGCAAACAGGCTCGCACTATTTATCGCCGCTCGCCTCGCGAGCTGTGAATATTCACAAACAATCTGGTACACCATCCGCGACGAGCTCGCACTGTCCATCAAAGCGCACAGCAGCTCCTGCACACGGTACTGCTGAAAAGCGCACCACCGCCAGCACCCAAAAAAAGGTCGATTCTTCCCGCTCCTCTCACCTGCGAGCTCGAGGATGCTGCAGCCCTTGATGAGGTTCGTCAGCACGTTCTCCTCTACGTCCCCCTCGTGGTGCCCGAACATCACCGCCGGACGCCCCCCTCCCCCTTCTCCCTTCTCCTCCTTGCCGCCTCCCTCATTGCCGTCGCTGTTGCCGTCGCTGTTGCCGTCCTTCGATCGCCCTCCCAGCGCCGCCTTGTATGCGTCGAAGCGGATCTCGCGAGCCACCTTCTCGTACTCATCGCGGGCGGTGACCCCCCTCCGAACCTACAGGACGTGCGCGGACGGTGGAGGCGTAAGGGGATAGGAGGATAAGATAAATATTTTCCTTGGGGATGGGTGTGGGGGGAGTGTTTGTTGGTCGCGGGGAGGGGGGGGGGGGGGGGGGGGGACCCTTTTTTTGGTTGGCGGAATCTTTTTACCCTTGGCCCCCCGTCCCTTTTGAAAAGGGAAACCGTTCCTCCCCCCTATAAAAAACCCCCCCAATTTTGGGGGCCTTTTTTTTTTTTGCCCCAAACCCCAAAAAAATT